TTCATCAAGACAAACAGTACCTTAACTTTCTTGATATCCCCCGGCCCCCCGACACCTGGCAAGCCCTACAGCGACTGGACTGAGCAGAAGCCTGGTCTCACAGCTGTTTATCCTAGCCATATTCCTATGGAGTCATCTCGGCCGTCTTGCGATAGGTCTCGTGACTGAACTCATAGCCCAGAGCGCCTTCTTCGACGATGGGCCTTTCTTCGATGGCTTCATCAGGTCCTCCGCCATCGGTGTTGGAGGTGCGAATTAGACAAGACTAAACTCGACACTGACACTGTCCTGCAGGGCGAAAGTCGGTGCTGCGCTCTGTGCATGTCCTGTCGTGCAACGCTATGAGAGAATTTTTTACAGATTGGAAATCTAGGTCTGAAATTACTATTTTTTATTCTGGGAAGGATTGGGGGATCATCACTTCTAAGATGTCTTTGTCACGACGTACGTGCTCAGGATTGTTCGAGGATTTTGTTGTCCTGCCGACTGTGCTCAGGATTCTCAACAAGATTTCTGATATCATTATTCGGTCAACGACTCTTCGTATTGTTTGCGAAGTGGGTCGCCTGATAGAAGAAGCACTGATGACTGCTTGGTGAACTGCTTAAAGCGACAACTGACTATTGACTAGTTTGTTTGATTGGAACGAGGCCCAGAGAAAAAAATAAACGCACACAGCCGGAATCGAAACTTGCTATGTAGACGTGGCCAGAATCCTCCCCAAAATCATGCCCCAAACCCTCCTGCTCCCCGAAATCCTCCTGGAAATCTCGAAATCCTCCCGGAAAGCTTTCCGAGAATGATGCCAAAAAACCTCCTGTTTTCGAGAATCCTACTCGAAATCCTACCGGAAATCCTTCCCAAAATCCAACAGTGTCGACAAGGCGATTCTATCATTTCGGTGAGGATTCTGGTGAGGATTTCTGTGATCTGGGCCTCACGGCTGGGTAGGATTTCGGGCTGGCAGTGTCGAAAAAGCGGAGTCTCTGTGACTGCTATCGTTTTGGGATGGATTTTGTGATCATTCCAGTGGGGAGGATTTCTGTGATCTGGGCCTCACGGCTGGGTAGGATTCCGGGCTGACAGTGTCGAAAACGCGAGTCTCTGGGACTGCTATCTTTTGGGATGAATTTCGGGATCATCTCGGTGAGGATTCTGGGGAGGATTTTGTGTGATCTGGGCCTCACGGCTGGGTAGGATTCCGGGTTGACAGTGTCGAGGATTTCTGTGATCTGGGCCTCACGGCTGGGTAGGATTCCGGGTTGACAGTGTCGAAAACGCGAGTCTCTGGGACTGCTATCGTTTTTGGTTGATTTTCGGGATCATTCCGGTGAGGATTCTGGGGAGGATTTTGTGAAGTATTGTCTCGTCGTTTCCATTCTGCTGCCACTGCGGGCTCCTGCTTCGACTGGGGGCGCATGGAGATGCCAGGGAACTCCTCATCGTACAGGTCGCCCCACACCTCCAAGGCGAAGCGCTCACACTGCGACAGCTGCAAGGTCCGAAGCTGTGACAGAACAACGACTATGATCCTAGAAGTAAGGCGGGCGGCGTTCACACCCCGCAGGGCATGAACACGGCACCAGCCTGGAAGTTCGACTTGGGTTTGCCTGCCGTAACCAAGCTCAAGCGGTTTTCCAACAGGCCGTCAACGTATGTCAATGCAGCATCCAAACTTTTTCCGATCTGCCCATGCGGAGACTACATCCAGACAATCCGTAAGTCACAATCCTTTGCCGATATGGCCCTTTTCATGTTGCATCCTCTTCAGAACTGTGATGCTGATTCTACGGATGTTCTGTCCCAACAGCCCTCAAGGGGCTGAACCCCACCCTTAAAGGTGTCTGCAGGCCTTCTTCCCTGGCTCAGGAACGCTCCGAGCCAGCTTGTACTCGACCTGACAGTAATACGTATGCGTATGTATGAAGGGCTTGTAATACGCCAAACGTGTACTTGGACCTGAATACTACAAACAAAGCGCTACTTGGCCATACTACATAACTAGCACCGCTGATCAAAAAACAAGTGGCCACAGCCTTCGCCGGCATCACGCGGACCTACACATGCAATGAAACACGGAAGAAGATCATTCAGGGCTTTGTCTCGACAAGAGCTTCCTTTGGATTTATAGGGGTTACGATCTGCGGTTCAGCGTTGCGGGATCAGATTTTCAGAGTTTGTGGGAGAGGTGGGGTATGTCTTTCAACTAAAGGAACCTACCATCAGGGTGGTAGGGGCCTTATGTTGTCCAATTTTATACATTGCATGTGTGTGTGTGTATATATATATATATGCATCGATACAAAACTAGATCATCTTTGAAAAGGTCCCTAAAACAGGACAGACATGATTGTGGAATCTTCATATGTCTTGTTAACCCCCAAGAAGACTCTATCCCTCTAACCCTTTCCCCCAACCCTGAACTCTGAAACCCTGAGCAACCAACGAGCGGCGGATTGAGCGTCGCCTGCCGATGTGAAAAGCAGAGCCTCGGATGCCGGACAAGGGTGAAAGTCAGACTCTAATCAGAGATGCTTACTACCAGCTTCCCCGAAAAGACGAACCAGCAGTTTTCTGAAGCCCGCACATCCACACCTGCAGCTTCTCGAGCCAAGTCACAGACCACCCTGGCGATGGATGTTCGGCTACGCTCTGTAGCCTTGAGCCTAAAATTCCTCGAAAAAGGAGCTGTTGCAGGAGGTTAAAAGCATGACTGTGCGCTGAGTTCCAAACAAAACTAAAATATGTTCATACGTGCAAGCGGAATCTCGCAATCAGTCAAGGCCAGCCTGTCCAAAGGACAGCAGGGAGTTTCAGAAAGTAAAGGACGGGCAGGCGGACGGACGGCGGACGGGTCACCGGGCGAGCTGGCGGACGAGTCTGGCGGCTTGCACAACAGCAAAGAAAACATGCAATACATACAAAACTCTCTCAAGGATGAACTCGCGAAGTACTGTAGTTATTTCTGGAGTTCTGCATCAGTTTCCTGTGGCGGGAAGGCTTAGGAGCATGTGACCAGCTTGCGATGGCGATTGAATCCTGAATGTTCACTGTAAGGGTGGCCACGTCGCTGCCTAACCCACGCATTCGGCGATCGATACAACATGGGGACGATCATCCCCCTGAGCATCCCTCCAAACATCCCCCCAATCATGCCGCGGCTGCCACAACCCCATGAACATACCCAAAACATCACCCACAGCCACACACAAACACAAACAGTGTCCTAGACATGGGCCCTCTCACAGTGCCCATGTCTTGGGGCCCTCTCACAGTACCCATTTCTAGCCGGTCGCTCCAATTTTATCGGATGTTCCCCCAAGGAACCGACACGGGCCTGCTCTCAGTGCCCGTGTCCTTGACATGGGCCCTTTCACAGTGCCCATGCCCACCTCATGGTCCAGTGCTGTCGGATGATCCCGATGGGCCCTCTCACAGAGCCCAAAGAGCCCCTGCCAGATCTGGCATATGTCTTTGTGATCTTTGCGAATGTCAAGGACCTCTGCTCTGAGCCTGCTCTGGTGTAACGAAAGCAAGAGGCACCGCTCGCACAGCTTTAGATGAATACCCTCCGGGCTGCCCCTTTTCCTTGTTCTCTCTTACCACCGAACCCGGAAGAAAAACTTTACGGAACTGCATGACAAGCGGAGCCAACCTTGCACCATGCATGTGCATGTGCGGACAGCAGCAAGGATGACATCCTCCGATCTATCCTCTGGAGGGAGCCCTGGAGCTCTCGAAAAAGGTCCTCTGCTTCAAACCCGGTGATACGCAGAAGCACTTTGAGGAAGTCTTTTGGACCCACCCGCGCGATCGAATCAAGTGAAGACATCATCGACCTTTGGCTGAGCTTCAGCCTCGGTCATCATGGGGGGGGGGGGGGGGGGGCTCCTGCAGTTAGAGTCAGTAAGAGGATGGAGGCCGTGCTCTTTGGTCTCTGTTTGCAGCAAGGATCCTAGCCTTCTATTTTCGGGTCCGTTTTTCTGCTTAAAGCTCCTAGGTTTGACGGCTTCGCCCACGGGTTTGGGCCCCAACCACGCAATCCAGCGTTCCTTCTGCTATCGTGCAGGAACAACCAATCAACCAGTACTGTAGCACAACCTTTCAAATGCTCTATCGCAATTTGCAAAGGCTTCCCAAAGATCTGTTGACCGACATGGTGTCGTAAGAATCTAGCCGGGCCCTGTGCATGGGTCGATTTTTACTTGCACGGCGACCACGGCTTGAAGAACTCCGGTTCAAGAAACGCTATGCCTGAGGAGCGCGCCAAGACCCGGAGTGCTTCTGATTCTGCTCCTCCGCGCTCCAGAAGTACGCGGCTTCTTGAGCACAATTATCCATGTACCTATGTATGTCTATATGCGAATGAAAAGGTCTATCCGTCCATGCATGTATCCCTACCTGGTCATCATTCTGCTTCTGTAGTTTCGCGGGCCAGGCATTAGGCATGGGAAATCGCCCAGCGCAATGTCTCGATGAACGGTTCCCTCGCGGCCGAGCGCATGCAGATTGTGGGAGTCCGCTGGTTCACTGTATGCAGTGCAGAAGCTCTAAATAAATCTGCGTTCGTGTGCAGATATTCCGATATACCCGGCGTTCCATTGATGAGTTTTTGCCAACTGCGTGGCTCCTCTCCGTAGGGGAGTTGTGTTTCTTCTTGTCTTGACAACGTTGGAAGCTGATAGAAGGTTTACCTCTAAGATGGTCGGCAAGAAGGTATGCATGGACATGGAATTCCTCGTGCAATGTCAAGGTAGGTGTTGAGCAGGCTCTGCAAGGAAATCTGTGTTGTGATGGGGCATTTATCGATGCATGCGCACAGTTGCGTACGCACATGCAAGCATCGTCACAGATGAAGTGCCGGCGTGTGCAAGTATATTCCACCGTACAAGGGCAGTCAAGCTCGGCATGCGCAGATACACTGGGCTTTTCTCTCGATTTGTTCATGGGCTCGTCGTAACTGTCGTAACCAGCCGCTACAATGCTGTGGCTGCTAGCTGCTATGGATTTCTCAGAAGCAACTGTACCACCCCCATGGGGCAGGCCTGTCTCGGCGTCTTCATCGGACGCATGATCCTGCACGAGCAGTGTACTGTTGGAGAATATTTTTTTGATGGGCTGAAACGAAGCAGATGGTAAATAGACAGTCCTCTGGTGCAGACGATGGTGTCATCTCTCCCATCTGGCCTTGGGTCACATGACTGTCGAGACGATGCCCTTGCAGCCTGAGGCCTCAGGGAGAGGCGGCCTTCCGATGTGAAATCTGCCTGCGATTCTTCTGCGTGCAGTTCCAGCGAGAAATAGCATGTGATGAAATGAACCACCACTCACGCCACAGGCACTCTTTCAGAGCATAAACGAACGACAGGTCTCCATGCCGTGGGCCTGCACGCCCAGAGCAACAGCCTCGAAGTCGTCCTCTGGTGAGGACCAGGCCTCTGTCGACCTCGGGGACAGCGCTCTGCGGCTGAGCTCAGCCATCCAGTCTCCAGCTCCGGGCTTGGGAGCGGCGCAGGGGGGTGCCTGATCAACAGATTTCCAAATGGGAGTTTCCGAAAATAGGGGACCCTAATATAGTACCCTAAAAAAGTAGAATCCTTATTATAAGGACCCCCAAAGAAGGGACCCCTTATTTTTGGAAACTCCCAAAAATCTCTCTCTTCTCGAAAAACGGCTCCATGTCTCAACTGCCGGCCTCGAGCACAGCCAAGTTGAGTTCGCCCGGGCCCGGCGCCGTGCCCTGGGGCGTTGCCACCTGGCCAAGTCGTGAGGGGAACTTGGCCCGGCCAGGCCCTTTGGTCTCCGCCACTCCGCCTCGTAAGCCGACAAGAGCAGCTGGCCGTACAATTGGACCTTAACTGCTCTGGGCCCTAAACCCTAAACTGACAGCAAGGAGACGTCGGGGCGACTCGGCAACTCGCGTGATCTCTGAGCGCTGCGCCGTCTGCTGGCCGAGGAAGGCATGGCTCTTGCGGAGGGTGCTGGTGACTGAACTCCTGCTTGGATCAAAGTGGGGGAATCTTCAGTGCCAGTGAAGATCAGGGCTTCAAAAGAGCGCTGCATCCGCTGTTATTCGGATGGGCTGTACGGATCTCTGGTCTGGTTGCCTGTTCCTTCTTGGTTGGGTTCATAGCATGGTCTCCGCGACGTATCTCTTCGCACATGACATCGTTTGCTCTGTCCCCACCAAGGCATTCCCCACGATTCTTTGCTGTGTCTGGTGCTTCGCTTTGCTTCTCCGAAGGCCTGACGGCACCTGCTTCCACCCAGGCCGCTGTTGGGGATGCCCCTGTCGTGAGTTGTTTTTTTGGTGCGCCTTCCGCTCGCCACTGGTATGGAGGCTGAGAGGGGGAGTCCGCACAGCGGCATACCAAACCTCTTACGAGTTGCCACGCAAGGCCTGCGGTGGCTCCAACATGTACAAATGGATCGACTGCTCAAAGATTGGAGCTGCTACGGGATTGTCAAGCACTTCACCATACCCCGATCCTCAGCTCACAGTCTCAAAATGCCCTCCGTTGCTTCATCCAGGGGGTGTCGCAGTGGTCACCCTCTTCTATGTCTTTTCTTTTCCGACATTGCGCAGAGAACGCCCTCCCAGACATCCCCGGCCTGCCCTGCTCAAAGCTGATGCCGAAGGCCATCATGTATCCCACAAAGCGCCTTGCTTGGGGATGAGGGATGGCTGGGGTCGTCCGTTCTACGTTCCAATATCGATGGATAATCTTTAGAATCAGAAGTTAGACACGTTTGTTGCTCGGTCCATGCAAGCGCCGTCACAAAAGTTCAGCACTTGTATGGCAACTGTTGCATCCCAGGTTCTGCAGGAAGCTCGTCATCCTCAGATGCGACTCTCACAGCTCAGTTCGGCAAGGCCTCCCACTCAAGTCACACAGCAAATGCAGCTCGAGGAGCGCGGGCTTGCTAAACTGGCTGCCTCTCTGACAGAAACACAGCAGCCACCGTTGGCCACAGCATTCAAAGCTCTCCACGCCTGCTGGCACAGATCGCCGCCAAACAGCTTCAGCAGCATACGCCTGCAGGCGAGGCAGGCACGGCTCTACTGCATCTGCATGACTGAAGGCGAACCCAACTGAACAAAGAAGAGGGGCCTCGCACAAGGACAGTAGCAAGACTTCCTCCCAAAAGGTCACCTCAGATATCTGCTCCTCTGTTGCGCCCTCGGCATTTTCCCTCATATACGGACATGTGTCACTATCCGATTCTGCCAAGGCGGGATATGCCACTGAAGGAGTAAAGGTTGACACCCGCCTTGTTCCACAGCGCGTGGTTGTAAACACGGGAAAGCAGGGACACCTCGGTTAAGAGCAAGCGGCAAAAATGGCACAGACTGCAAGACTACCGAGTTCAGCTGCCGTTTCTTCTGAGCTCACTGCCTGTTTGCCGTCTTCATCGTCGGTTCGAAACAACTGGGCCAACACCTGAATGGCATGTTCAGACGGAGCAAGTGCGCGATGCATGTGATTGATGCTCAGCAGCCCACCATCAAGTCGCGACCACACCTTCCGGCGAAAGAACTGGCACACCGAAGAAATGCACAAAGAGAAGAAGCTCCAACAAGAAGTCTCTAAGGGCACAGAGTGGCGCTCTCTTCAGGTGCGACGTTCAACCCTATGAAGTGTTTGGATGCTGAGGCAACAGCCACGCATCACTCTGCTCATCCGAAGAGTCCAACGCAGCTTTGAAGCACACTGCAAGTGCCTGAACAAAACTTGCAAGCTTCCGCCGTCATCCGTGCTCGCATGCCTGCACGTTGCTTATGCGGCATGTGCTGGATCATGGCCTCGAACGCTCGAGGGCTGAGATTCTTCCCGGCTGCGCCTCTGACGCAACCGAACTTGGCACAAACTGAGCAGAACGTTGCCCTTATTCTAGGGGTGGCCACGTCGCTGCCTAACCCAGACACTCGGCGACCGATGCAACATGGGGACGATCATCCTCATGACCATCCCCCGAAACATCCCCCAATGATGCCACAACCCCATGAACATTCCCAAAACATCACCCACACAGACACAAAGACACACTGACATGCACACGCACACACACCACACACAATCACAAACACAGACACAGACACATACATCACCTGGAAACCCTCTCGGAATCACTCCGAACTTACCCCATCATAAACCGGCCCCCTCACAGTGCCCCTGTCTTGCCGATCGATCCAATTTTATCGGATGTTACCCCAAATAGCCGACACGGGCCCTCTCGCAGTGCCCGTGTCCTGGACATGGGCCCTCTCACAGCGCCCATGTCGGGCTCATCGCTCCAACTCCAGTGCTGTCGGATGATCCGCGATGGGCCCTCTCACTGCTCATAATAAGTCTACGACTACAATACTGAGCGACGTGAGTACCGCACGTCAAGGATGTTTGTGGGCATGTTCAAGGGGATGATCGTCATGTCCCCTGGGGCCATGAGTTAGGCTGTGGGCGTCCAGCCTTACCTTATTCTCTTTCTCACATGCAACGACCCGATCTGCCCCTTTGGTGCCCCAAGTGCTTACGGCTGCATGCTCAAACTTGACTGATGCTGCTGCTTGCTCCTGTCATCGGTTGGAGTCTAGAGGTTGCACGGGCATGGCACGGCTTAGCAGCTAAGCACTCGGCCGTCCAGTTCTGTGCCCTGCGGGTCGTCTCGCATGACTGCAGTGCGGAGAACCTGAAAACAGTTCAACGGCCATGTGGTGGAACTAGTCTCTCCATGCTCAGCTCCTTCAATGCTCTCAAGCATCGAGGGCAAGCCGGCGTTTCGAATCGCAGAAAACAGCACCGGGCCCTGCCTGGCAGAAGGCGGCCCGCGGCCGCCACTCAGTGACACGCCGGCTGAGGCTTTCAGCCTTGGAAGCCGGATCCAAAAAGCTCGCGTGACCCTGTCTCGAGGTTGCTCTGTTCTAGACTGTCTAGAATTAGGCAGTTCAGTCAAATTGGCGTCCGGGGCGTCTATGACGGTTTGACATTCAAACCAGTGTGCTGACAAGCTGGCTCTCGGGTTTACAGAGCCGGTCCGAAGCTCGTGGTCAAAAGATGTCAAAAGCACGCTGTCAGGCGGCTGTACTTGCAGGCGGCAGAAGGCGCAAGACTTTATGGGGGGGGCGACTTGAAGGCAAAGAGCTCTGCTTGCTTCGAGGGTCGTGTGCCACTATCACTAGCCTCTTCACTGCTCTTGGAACTTGGGCCGCAACCTGCTCCCCTTCAGGTCCTTCCACTGCTTCATGGCTGCTGTTCCACGGTTGACAGGATAACTCGATCAGAAACACAGCTTGTGGGGCCAAGAGTCCTTCCAGCATCGAAGCTATCACAGGACTCATTTCGTCCATCAGCTGTCGAATGTGCTGCTGGACCTGCTTGTAGCAGTCTGGACAAGTCGTCCCAACAGTAGCTCCGATGGCGTACCCGTATGTGACAGCAGGATCGGCTGAGATGAGGCATATAAGCCCAGCAGAGCCTGCGCAAGCTGCTGTAGTTCGGGTGTCACCTTGCGCCTAAGCTCGCACTCGATGCTTCCATCATCAAGCGAGTTGTTGGCTTCAGCATCAGGGCTGGGAGTAATTACAGAGAACCCGAGTGACCCAGTGCCCTATCGAACCTGCGTGCCCATAGCCGAGTGCCAGGCGGTTCACGGGCTTTGCCGAGCTGGAAAAACGGCAAGGCCTCTACTGTAGCGTGCGCATTTCGGCTCGGCTTCACAAGGCCCTCCCCGCATTTCTTGATGTCAAGATCGCTCCCGCGCTTGGGGGAAGACTCTGGCGGCCGGAAGCTGAGGCCCAGGCCACGAGAGCGCTTGCAGACGGTCCAGCACCGACCTGGCGGGGGTGCAGGATCCACCGACCGAGGCTCCCTGCCTCCCTGCCGGCATAAGACGGCAAGCCACTTCCTTCACCGCGGACTCAATGAAGTCCTGCAGCTCTTTGACCTGAAGGATCTGGCTGGAGGTCTTGAAGGCAATAAGGGGTTGAAGCCGAGGCCCTGGCCGCATCGAAGTCTTCGGCAGCCTACATGCCCAAAGCCACTTCCAGTGTCAAAATGCGCCATGAACTCGGAAGCTCTGCAATAACCAACTACCGCTGCAGAATGCTGCGGAGGCCGTCCTTTGCAGCCCCTTCGAGGTCGTACCTGGAAGTCGCTGCCCGGAAATGCACAACACTTTCAGTCGTGTTGGAACGTGGACTGCTGCAGTAGCCCGCCCAGTCCTGAACGTTAGTCATTTAACACCTGGCGAAACTGGACGTGCTATCCCATCTTGCGAATTCTTGAGGGCTCTTCCCTCGTTGTTTCTCTTTTTCTCCAAGATCATCCAAGATCACCTCTGGCCACTCTGGCCCTCCTGCACCCCGAAACTTACTACCAGTAGCCAGAAATTCTCTCATTCCGTTTAGTTTTGGTTGGGCACTGCATGTTCCGCAGCCAGGACGTCTCGTAGACCGCCAATTTTCTCAGGCCGTCTCGAAGGCAACGCCCGCGCCTCAGCTGGGACGTTGACGCGATGCTCTCCACGAATCTACAAGTTAAGGCAAGGCGGCAAGGCGGCAAAGTGCACCTTTTGTCACCGAAGAAGCTTAAACAGCATGAGGCTCGGTGGATCGAGGGCTTTCGAGTATGTACAGGCCCAGTGGCATCGCTCTACTAAGCCCACAAGACGGCCGAGCTCTTCCCTGGAGCCGGTCAGCGATTTAGACGGCACAGCCCTTCTGCTCCTTCTCGCCTGTCGAGTCCAGGCGACAGAGGTTGTAGTCTTTGTCGAAAGCACATCTCACCTGAGCTGCAACAACAGAAGTAGCAGCAACGACGATCCGCTCTTAAGGCTTGGACCCATCTGGATACGTTCTTGCCATTCTCTTTGGAGAAATAGGCTCCATAGCTTGAGTCACAATCATCCTCCGTGTCACGGCGCAAAGGCTCGGTTTAACAGCGCTGGCCAAGTCTACTGGGCTTATCCTACCGTGAACTGGAAACGCTTCAGTCCTTCGACAGCGAGTTGCATGTTGCGCCCTCTCCTAGCTTGTTGAGCTTTCGGAATTCTCCACAGCCTCGAGACGCCAGGCAGACTTTGTGTACGCCGCACAGCCGCGGACTCTTGGCTCTTCGGCTACTTTTTTACCCTGCCTTCAGGCTCGCAGCACAGGTCTTCGGACTTTGGAAAGCTGGCGCTTCCTCGGTGTCGGGTCTGTTCTTTCACCAATGGCGGGAGGCGCATGTTCTTGCTCTTCCAGAAGTACCACCCGGAATCTCGCTTAGCTTCGGATTGCCGCAGCAATCTTGGGCGGCGAACATGTCTGCTTGGCGCAGGTCTCCTTGCAGCAGCGAGCATCGGTTCTTCCTCGGAGCTGTGTGCCGTGGTCATCGTATGCTCAACTATCCAAGACTGTCGGACAACGACAAGACTAAATGCCGAATATCGTGGAACGAGAACCCTTGACACTCAGGCAAGGAGCCAAAAACGCCATCGCCGGCGTTAGCCATGCCAGCCTCAAGACGAAACGAGATCTCGATTGCAGATGGTCGCCGACGTTTTAGACACCTCAAGCTTAAAATGAGCTATAAGAGTTGATTCTGGCTTTAAGGTCGATGTCGGGGTATGATATCAAACTCACTCACTGGCATGGCAAGGAGCATCCGTGTCACAGGTGTGGAGGGAGCATGGTGGCAAGCAGCAGACATCTTTCGAGCTGCTGATCTTGTCCTTTTTTGCCTCGGCCACATGGAGGGGGGAACCATAAATGGGGTCCTTGTTATGTCAAGGATCTTCGCCCATTTTCTGACACTCCTACATGCCCAGCAACTGTCAGAGTCCGCGAAAAATCGAAGATTACCGAAGAGCTATCAAACCCCGGAAAACTCGCTTGAAAAAGAAACGCTAAACTCTAAACCTTTTGAAACTAAGTGCTGAGCCAGCTACTGCATCAGGCTGCCATCCTTTCGGACACTGGAAAGACGCGCACTGCTGTATGCAGCATTTTTCATCCGACGGGTCCTTGCAGAGCAGCTAAGGAAAAGACTGACCAGATTCAGGGAGGTGGCCCAAACACAAATGCGGCACTGTGTGGCACTAAAGCCCGTGATTTTGAGCTGGGTTGCAAACTGATCATCCTTGCTTACATCTTTGAGCCAACCTGGTCCGCATTCCTTCGTGACAGCATGTGACAGCCATCTTCAGTTCAGTTCAATGCACGGAGCTCAGCATATGCACACACTTGGAGTGACAAGGACGCACAGGAGAGTTTTCCTGCCTTTCGCAGAGTCCTGCAGCCCAGAGTCGTGATGGCGACACTGGGGCTCACAGCAGTCATCTGCCGAAGTGGCTTTCTGGGATTTCTTCTTCTCAGGGATGCTAAAGCCATGAGCAGCATCGCCTCATTCTGAACAGAGAAGCCAAGAAGTAAAGACGAGGCACATGTCTCGATGCACCCGGCAGGTATAGGGTTGCCACATTTGAAAAGCTCGCACGACTTGACGCAGCACTCCTCTTTCGTGGTGCCAGGCTTTTCAATCATGAGCTCGTCATAGATGTAGCCTGGATCACATCTCACCTGACGGGCACTAGCCCTCCCTCCCAGACTCCCAGACTCAAGCAGAGTGCCAGCCTGTCCGCAGGTGGGCAAACAGCACTTCTCGTCCGTGTTCCCGGGCAGCGTTGCCGCTTTCGGATTGGGGACCCTGAGCTACGCTGACTGCTCCATTTCGGAGATAATGTTATACATATATATATATATATATACATCTATATAGTTATACACACACACACACATATCATGTAGTGCACAATAACATTGAACAACATCATTCGAGGAGTCTAGAGAATGGACAAACATGTAGTTGATGTACAGCAGGTATATAGACGCTGATCGTAGTGGCTCGTCGTGCCGAGGCTCCATAAAGGGCTGCACTTGTGCAGCTCGCAAATATCTTCACAGCATTCCGCCGGAGATGTGCCTCAGGGCAAACAGCCGAAATCGCAACGTCCGCTGGCTCAGGATGCTACGACAAAGGAGAACACTCTCAAACACCCACTTCCACGAATTGCAAACATTTGAAGAACCACAGTGTCTCCTTTCGTGATTTTTCTCTCTATCTCTCACAAGTTCTCCCTGCAGGGCCTGAGGGGTCGGCTAAAATAGAAGCCCCCCGCACCCTCTAAAGACGCCTCGTTGTTCGGGGTTAGGGCAAGCATTGTCTGAAGTCCCCGGTTCAGCAGCGGCGAAAATCTACAGGCATCCACCGATATCAAAGCTACAACCACAACAAAGTACACTCGGGCGGGATTTGCTGATCAATACAAGGGGTGTCCACCTACCTGCAGACTTCACTGCACTCTGAGGCTGCAGCAGTGCCACGCGCACTGCCTTTTGCGGAGTTTCCCCGTGACCCCCCGTAAGCATGTAGAGTGTCTCCCCTGCAGGCGGGAAACTTAGCTGGTGTAATGCGGAAGCCCAGGTGGGGCAAAAAAACTCTCTCTGTGTCTCGCTCTCTCCTCCGCACTCTCAAGCAAGACAAGATGAGATCCCTCGCAGCCTGCTTTCAAGGGATTGCCGACTGCTTGACTCGCATTGCATTTGAAGGCGCTCTCAGACTCCGCAGCTCCACCTCGACTAGTGCAGGCCCCTTGACAGCCCCAACATGTCCATGGATAACAGGGCAGGCAAACAAGAAAGCAAGAGACATTTGGTGTGGAGCTCCTGGCTCGTATGCGTATCTACGTATCCTTCAGAAATGCAAGGGTTCGTTTATTTATACATATATGGTGATGTATCTAGATATCATACAGCAAACCAAACCCTGAGGATCCGGCACGCTCTGTCGCAGCACTGCGTGTCTGTGAAACCTGCGTTCTACAGCGAAGCGAAGCACAAGCGAAAGAGGAGGAACCGCCTCATGTCTGATGCAGTAGGTTCCATGCTGGCCCCGCCTGTGTTGTGGATGTAGGCTTCATTGGCCACATAGCCAACGCTGCAATTGAACAAACTGCAGGTTTTCTCGCAGCATACCTCTCCAGGTTTCGGAGGAATCTGTGACCACAAAGTTCTACACTAGTATACCCATAGTAGTCTCTACATAGCTATACGATGCTATTCTAGCAATTAAACTGCAACACCACCGGCAATTACAACAATGCTGCCCGAACATTTTGGGAAATCGCCGAGGCCTGGTCGGATGCACCCGGGATAGCCTCAGCTGAACACCAGGCAACTTGATCGGATTTGTTAGGGCTTCAGGGGCTTAATGGCTTGGGGGTGTAGGTTTTGCGCAGGGCTTAAGGGCTCAGGATTTTAGGGGGCCTAGGGCCTAAGGGCCTACGGGCTAATTGAGGCGAGTGTAAGGCTTTTTGCATCGGTGGCACGCCCCGCCCGGGCTTTAGCACGTAGCCCTTTGAACACGGCCATGCGCTACACTTTGGTGCAGTGCTGGAAGAATTATGGGCACCTGAAGCAGAAGAGCTGATCAGGCTTCACTGCATCGACGCATTCACAAAGCAAATCGTAGCCCCTAAATCCCAAACATCACCGTGCAGCCTTCGAGAGATGCACGAAGGTTCACGGATGTTGCCAGTAGTGGCAACAGCAGGCCACAGCCGAACCTGAGACAGGCTTCTGTCTGCGGGCCAGGCCCATCATTGCTAAGCCCTGAAAACCTATGATTGTTACGACCCTCACGCCCAACAAACTCTCACCTGAAACACCTAACAACCCTAAAAGCCCTCAAATCTGGAAACCTGCAAATTCGCCAGCAAAAAGCCGTACCTAAGCCAGTCTTGCTGGCAGAGTGCTTGGCTCCCATGGCTGCCTCTCACCTCAGCTGCGGCCTCTGCCTCGGCTCTCCGAAAATGAGCTTTGGGCGGTATAAAGGTTGTTTTCAAAATTAGGGTCCCTTGTGGGGTCCTTTTTTTAGGGTACTTAAAACGGGACCCTGATTTAGAGAACTACCCATAAACTACCCATAGGCCCCAGAGTAGTTCCTTTTTGGGATTACCTAAATGGATCCTTAAATATATGCCACAAAAAGGAACTACTATGGGGCCTATGGGTCGGCTTCTTCTCTGGGCATTATAAGTTAAGTATAAGTGTTAAGGACACGCTTGGGGTGTTTTGGTTTGCGGGGGGTATTTTGGAGCATTCAAGGGCTCAAAAGTTTGAGGATTTGAGGTTGGGGGTCGTTTCGCATTTTACAAGTCTTCTCTAGGGGATTGTTTGGTACAGGAGATATCGCAGTCACATGTTCTGTCCAAAAGTGGCTCTGCGTGTGGCGGGTGACGGGCAGATGGTGCATACACCTGTCTATGTATCGTTTAACAAGGCCAGCTAAGGCTGCTGCAAGCTCTCGGTATAGATGTTTTGTCCGTTCTTTGCAAGCTTCATGCATGTCTTAGTATGTCCGGGCTGTGACTGACAAGGCACATACCGCTGCTTGGGAACATTCAGTGTATAAATCTGCCCACATCTGCATACTCTCGATTTGGAGTACTTGCAGCACATGTGCAGCAAAGGATGTGCCGCACGGTTGACATGCAACGGCTGTGTATCGCGTCTTCCTACTGTGGCTGATTTTGTGATTGACCTGCGATTTTCAGGGTGCGAGTTCCTATCGTTGCTGTTTCAAAATCAAGCAACTTCGCAACAGTAGTGTCTTCAGGACAAATCATAGCGGCATTGTCAAGCCTTATTGCGCAAGAATGTTTCGCCAAAAGTATGTGGCGGAACCTCTGACAAGTGTTTCAGTTGTAACCTATCAGCGTTTAATTTAAGGTATAGAAGTGAAATCAGGAAACTCTTATGCGGTGCTTTCCTAAGTTCCTCGAGACAAGCCTCGGCAAACAAGAAACACTGCTATGAGCAAGAAAGGTTCGTGTGGTAAGTCCCCAGCGAAAGCATAACGATTCGTAAGGGGCATGCTATCAACGCGATAAATTCGGCCGCTATGAACACAGCGGTGTCCAACCGGGAGATTTCACACAGCTTTTGCAAGGGCTCGGCATCTCAAGCAACTGTATGGCCAAGAGTAAGATTTGGAAGGGGCCCCTGCAATTGCTGCAGTGTGACTGTATGCGGAGTGCATGCTTAAGAGTAGCTGTCGCAATACAGCCTTTCCACTGCCTGCAGTGACTCACGGATGGGGAGCGGGTCATGTACACGTCCTTTGCACGACGCATCGCTAGCCTTAAAGGCTTCAACACCCAGACTCTCAACCCTCTACTTCTAACCCCAAACACCATATGTGCCTTCAGCCCAAGCCCAAAAGACCCTTCAGAGTTGCAGACGCAGGTGCATTAGACGAAGCTCGAGAGTGGCACTGGCGTGGAGTGCACTTCTCGAGCCCAGCTTCGGGTGCATTATTCACACGTGGGTTTAAGGCATTTTTCCGTTGCAGGAGGGTTGGGGCCCTTGAGTGTTTTTAGGATGGTTTAGGGTTTCGGACTAAGGCCTAAGGTTTGGGTGTTGCGGTTGGCCCGTGTCTGCTGCAAGGAAGCGACCGCACAGCAGCTCGAGTCAGCATGCTCACCCTTACGTCGGCACTACGGCATGGACTCTCTGCTCTGAGGTCGGCTCTTTTCCTCCATATCCTGGCAGAGGGTTGAGGACTCAGAGTTAAAGGCACGGGATGCCAGAATTGATTTCTGCGGAAAATGCAACTACCCATTGGCTGCCCTAACTTTTCGAGGAAGGTGCATCCCCGCGCCCTGACAAGACATCTTGACACGAGATGCGCAGCCTGCAGGACTTCCAGGACATGAGACATCTGCTGCTCGTAGAGTCTTTGTGCCCTGTTGGCCTGATCAGGTTCTCAACTTCCAACCAACAAATCTCTCAAACCTCGCATGCAGAGGCAAGTCGTGGCGATGCAGCTTTGTTCACCCTTTTGACATCGAGGCACAACTGTCACTGCATCCCGACTAGCGCAACCTATACATCCCAGGGCAACAAGCCAACTCAGTCTTTGCGGCTTGCTATGCAAGCTTGCAAATAAAGCTTTCTTTCGCCAAGGCCAGGGTGAGAGGAAGCCCCCTCCCACCGCGCGCGTTAGCAAATACAGCTTTTTCTTTCTTTCGCCAGGGTTGTGGTGCAGAGGTTGCCCCCAAAACTCTTCCTCTCTCTCCGTCCGAAAACTCGTGAACGGCGTGAAGGCGACGGCGTCCACCTCTATGTCGTGCACGGGGCAGGGAAACACCTCTTCCGCCGTTGTTCGGCCAGCAGCCGATCGTGATGAACATCCGAGCATCCACGGTTGTTGCTGATGAGCTGACTACAGCTGCGAAGACTCGCACCAGTCTGGGAAGCTGCAGCCGTCCAGGTTCGCCGCAATGTCGCGCAGACGTTACTTCTCCAAGCGGGGCCAGAGCTCTCCCTGCTTTGCCTTGACCAAGGTCAATTCCAGGATGAAGTCCTGCGAAGTTGTCTCAGATTTTGGTTGAGGCCTTGCGCCCTTCAATCGAGCGGATTCCCACCCGCAAATTTATTCTCTCACCTATATCCCTGAAAGGACCCTCACAAGGGCTTTAGAGCCCTCCTCCCTACACCTCACATCAAACCATGGGAGTTCGCGCGGTCCCGAGAGCTCAGCTCGAATCTCGCCGGGTCAATGCGGCTGAACCTGGGACGTTGCATCGGGAGGAGACGGCTAAAAGGTTCAATGTTTAGAGGGCTTGGCTCTTTTAAGGTGCTCAGGTTTTTCGGGTTGGGCAATTTACGGTTCATGGGAGCGTTAAGGCGCAGGTGTCATAAGGGTTTAGGGCCAGTTTAGGGGTTGGGGCCCCGGGTTAAAGGGCGTTCTGCAGCTTGGCGACAGCTGCAAATCGACCAGAGTCTGCTGTAGTGCCGTGATCTTCAAAGCCGTAGCTGACAGCGACACCTTGGTTTCGGTGCCCAAACCGGCGAGTCAAAGTGGACCTTGACCCGGGCCTGCGCCAAAGACCCTTCACCGCCCTACGCCTACAAAGAGGCTGCTGTGTTCAAGTCTGCTCTTACGATTGCCCCACTAGTTTTGCTGCTTTACTATGCTGATGGTTTGTTGTTAAACTTGTTTCAGATCCTTAAGCAATTGTGCTACTCTTTCTTTGCTAAGCCACAGCAGCTTTCACGTCTGGCTCCAGTCGCGGGATCGAGAATACCAAGTCCAGCTCCTGCCACCAAGCTTGAAGCAGAGTGTCAGAAGGCCCCGAACCCTGAGGCTTTGAAACCCCTGAGGGTTTAGGGTGTAGAGTCTAGGAGATTTAGGGTTTTCCTTCGGGTTAAGGACTGAACCCTTCGCCCGAAACTAAACCGAAACAAGCGAGCAGAGTTCCAGAGGATGGCCTTGTCATCCTGCTGCATATCCACAAGCTTGCCTGGAGATGCTCAGGGCCCTAAAGGTCCATCTTAGGCTCACTCGCTTTTCTGAAAAAAAATCCTAAACCCAAAACCCTACCCCACATGGATTCAACAAAGAATACCATGCAACTAACCGGACCGGACCTGGATGGCTGATGGGACAGTCGGCCTCCTCCGCGCAAATTTCCTGCAGGGCAATCTACTGCGAAGGTGGAACTTGGGGACACCAAACGGCCCTCATGGGGCCTAAATAAGCCAAATAATTTCCTATGCTATTTTGGAGGCTCCTTATGATAATTTGCTGGGTTTGGGGGTTTACGGTTTAGGTTTCGGCTTCTCGAGATCGGAGCTTCTCGATTCAGTCAAGCGCCGCGCCCGAGCTGTGGCAGTGAACGACGAACCCAAAGCCGCGACGGGCAGCTCGCGGCAAGGGCGGGGCTCCTTCAAGGGCTCACTTCGGTGTAGGATTTTGGGGAGCTCAGGGCTCCTTTAATATTCCTTTAATGGGTTTAGGGTTTAGGGTTTAGGGCTCCTTTTATGGCATACTGTGGGGCATATGGTAGAGGGCGCAGGGTTCCTTCCAACAATGCCGGGGTTTAGGGCAAGTGAGGGGGTTTTGGACGTTTCGAGGCTTCCTTCCAAGCCCACTGCCGCAGTGGGGGACTTCTCCAAAAGGCACGGAGCTCCTGCTGTGCATCGGCGTAGGGTCTGAGGGTGTAGTGTATGTGGCTCTTAGGGCGAGGGGTTGTTGGATTTAGGCCTAAAGCGGTCGCAGCACTGGCTCGCAGCCTCCTCCATCTCCCAGACGGAGCCGGGCCAGAGAGCAGCTTTTTCCAAAGGCAGCCGCCAGGGTCTTCTGGCCGACCTCCAGGTGCGACTTTGTCTACTACCGCCTGCATTCTTTTGATCTTCGGCTTCACTAGAATTACGTTTTGACTACTGGGTTAAACTACTGCAAACAACCCTTTTCCCGCCAAAACGGCTATACTACATATTATAGGTCGTCTTCGGGAATCTCTGAGCCCTCCTATTCGGCGTGAGACCTAAGCCGGGCGAGACGCTTCTCCAAAGTCATTCTCGGACACATCCAAGGTCTCCAGCACGTAAGGATTCACCTGCGAGTCGGAGAGCAGGGAAAAAGCCGAGCGGTAAGCCCTCTGAACCAATAACTCCCTAAACCCTCTCCCTAAACTTTGTAAACCCCCAACAATATAAGCTTGATATCGTGTACAAAATTACATTCTACCCATAGGCCCCATAGTAGTTCCTTTTTGGGATTACCTTGTAGGATTCTAAATATCAGCCCCGAAAAGTAACTACTATGGGGCCTATGGGTAACTCCTATGAGCCCTACCTTACCTGCTTTTTTGTAGGGTCCCTATAAATCCCATATTAGGGTTTATTATAATGACCTACAAAAAAGGTCAGGCCCCAAGGCGCTCCTGCAGAGCCTCGGCAAGGCAGCAGCAACCTCTGTCCGCTATGGCCTCGTCTCGAAGGGTCAAGGGGAGAGTTGGGAATACCCGAAAACCCAGCAGCCCCTACGCCGCACATAGCAGGACCCAGAATCTATTTTGGGTAAATATACTCCGCAGAAGAGCCCCTAATTCTTGTCGGAAACCCTCAGTTTTTCGCGTGCTGAGAGACATTCAGGCGAAGGTTGAGCTCGCACAAGAAGTCGCTGCATCGAAGCCCCGCTGAGAGGCAAGCTGCAGCTTTGCAGCCGAGTCCTGAGAACAGACGAGCTTCGCGTCCCTTCTGGCTACAACGTCAGAGACTAGCCGTGAAGCTTTACACTGCCCTCCATTGCAGAGCACGTGTTCTGAAGCAGGCGCAGGAACGAAAAGCCCCAGCCAACTGCCACCAAAAGGCTGTTGTCGGACCTGAATTCGAAAACACGGCTTGGCACTTCTACCCCATGCTGCAGCACAGTCAGCTCCACGGCTTCTTGCCAACTTGTCGCTGAGACACAGAGAGAGCTTGCACAGCGACTCGGAAACCTTAGAATTTAGAAGGCTCCATGGGTGGTTGTCAAAATTAGGGTACCTTTTTGGGGTACCCTAAATAAATAGGTGCCGTATTATAATAAGGACCCAAAAAGGGGCCATAATTTTCACAACCACCCCCATGCATTGCACTGCCAGGGTTGGGATCTTTGCGGGGCGGCGCGGCCTGCAGGAGTTGTCCCAGTGGCTCACCGGCCGCATCCGTCAAGCCGCAGCCTCCGAGGGATTGAAACACTGATTCTGTGCAGCCTGATCCTGGGGCTTAGGGTTCAGGGTTTACGGTTCAGGGTTTAGGGTTTAGGGTTTGAGGTTCAGGGTTTAGAGTTTAGGGTTTTAGGTTCAGGGTTCAGGGTTTAGGGTTAGGGTTTCCGGAAAGCAATCGTAGCAGCCCAAGGCAGGTGGGGATCCAACTTCCTCTGCTTGAAGCCCCTGGCCTGAAAGCTGCAGGGACCGGAGAGTTTGGGCTGAACGGCAAAGCGCTGGCATGGCCTGGCCGCAGTTTGCTCTGCGGTGCTTGAGATTCGGGTTTAGGGTTTAGGGTTTAGGGTTTAGGGGTTTAGGGTTTTAGGGTTTAGGGGAAAAATGAAGCTTTCTGTGAGAGCGTGCTGCTACGCCTGCACAAGACCATCTTGAAACCAGCCCTGTTCTTGGTTTACCGGAATGACACTTGCCCGAACGTCTCTAACCGTCCCGGACAGCCAGATGCCGCAAAAATCCGATGAAGTCCCAGAAATGACGAGCAGAACCTCGAATGGAAACGGAAGTTTCCGAAAATAGGGGACCCTAGTATAGTACCCTAAATAGTAGGATCCTTATTATAACGACCCCAATCCCAAAAGAAGGTACCCCCTTGTTTTCGGAAACTCCTAAATGGCCAAATCGTGGCACCTACTCCT